TGAAACAAATAAGATTTTCCTATCTATTTATTTGTTTACACAAAGTAAGCTAGCTCAAAAAATTACATTTTTATAATTTTATTGAAATAATCGAGGAGGGAAGATGGTTTTACACATGTTTATTAATATTAATTTTTCTAAGTAAAAAATTCTCTTTAGCCTTTTCTTTTTCCAAAGTTTATAAATTTTCTCGTTTTCAAAAAAACACACCCTTGCTTATAAAAATTATATTTTTTAATTAGAAACTCTAATCTTGAATTGAAAATTATGTGTTCTACTATTAAGATTAAATAATATATCAAATATTTATATCAATAATATTATTAATTTAAATAATTTATATTTTTTTTATATATTCGTTGTTAATATTAAAATTAAATATAATATTATAAGAGTGTGTTCCTATTGTTTTATTGTTTTACAATAGGAATTTCTGAATTAACTTGTGTGTGTACTTTTATTGGCCTATTTTTATTGACTTTTATTGACCCATAATTATCTGATACTATTATGCATTTCAATAATATCTCCAACTATAAATTAATTGTGTCTTGTATCGATTGAAATACGTATAAGCCATTTAGCATGATAGTCTTCGAATTCCAAGAGCATTGACGTTTAAAGATGAGAGAGACCGGATTTACCGTTGCAATGGTTGCAAATGTGTGGGAACGGCGGCGTTTATTTGACACGCGCGACGAGTGTAGTCTTTTTTTTCTTTTCGGAATCTTGCTTTGCGACGGCTTCATTAGGCCAAACCCGCTTCGATTTGCGGTCCGCGGTTAATGACGCACGGGCATCCGCATCACACACGTACGCACACATGGGGAGAGAAAGAGCCCGTCTTTCGTATCTTAAGGTATCTCTACATGGCGTTCGTCAGCGCGCACCGTTTAACGCTTTAGCATCTTTACCCGAGGCTAAAATAGACGGTGGCTCTCTGCTTAAGCGTTCTCAGAAAAATCCTCGTCGCTCGAGGAAATAAAATTAAAAGGCATTCACAGTGTCAGTAAGTGGTCTCGATACGCTGCATCTTTGATGCGAAAAACGCAGGAGCGAGAAAAAGAGAAACGATACCTAAATCTCTCAGAAATACCGTCGAGTGATAGAGAAAATTTGTAAAGTTACAAATTACAATCAAATTACTATTAAATTACTATTAACTTTCACATTTTGTGAAAAATTGTTTTTTAATATGTCTTGCAGATATCTCGCGCATGTTCGGAGAAACATTGCTACAAATTAAAATATTAGAGATATTTATCCAGAGTGCTTTTTAAAGTGTGAAAAATTTTAGGAGATGATTCTTTATCAAAAATTAAGGGAGTTTTTCATGTAAACAAATACTCCTATATCCCTCCCTGTGGGACACTCCTCCAAAATTGGGGGTAAAAAAGGTTTTTATTTTTTTCTCAAATTTGGAAACAGTTAAAGAAATGAAATTAGGTGGATATTTTCTACTAGTAAAAAAGATTATTTATTAATTTTTTTTAGCCTCTTGTATTGTTAAAGGGCTGAAATTAGCAACTCCTATTCAATTTTTTATTAAAACTTTTTAATGTTTATATGAAAAGCCCCCCTTAATTTTCGACAAAGAATCACCTCTTAAAATTTTTCACACCTGTTAAGAAACACCCTGTATTTTTCTAAAAATACTATTAATACCAGAGAAATTAATATTTCTCAGTTAAATTAATTAGATGCAAGTTAAAAATGCAGAGTTAAAAATTTATGAGCGCAAAGAATTAACATTGTCAGCTGTCGAGAGACGGCACAAGAGCAGATCGCAAATTCACGTGTTGCCATTGTGATGATACGCGCGTTAACTAATGCTCGAAACACGATACGACGATTTTTTCACGAGCTAGCGACTTCGATTTTATTCTTCGTGACGGCGGGATCCGAAAAGGGGCCCCGTACGTGATGATTTGCCTCTGGCACCATTAGATCTGCCGGCTCGAATTTCAGTTATGCCGCTGCGAACCGAACGATTTAGCGGGTCCACACTGTTCCGCTCGTGAGAGGTCCCAAACTTTACGCTTATTGTCCAAAAACGCGCGAACGGAGCGACAAATTAAACATAATTAACGCCAGTACACAGATGTATTATTATACATGAGACGTAATGTGCTCCCAGGTTAATGCGAAATTGAAATAATTAAGAAATGATCTTTGCCAAGATGGAAAAATATCTCATTAAAATTAAATTATTTGAGGTACAGAGTTGTATTAATCTTTCATGTTTAGCCGACAAGTAAGTTCGAGTAACATCAACATTGCAAAATTAAAATTATTCAACGTAAATTATTTTTTTTTATCAAGTCTTGTATAAAAATGCCCACTGTATAAAACATTTGAAATCGAAATATCCTCTCATTTTTATCGGTCCTAAGAGTGAAAAAAAAAACATAATAATTATATGTCAATTAAATACATATAAGCATTTTCGAAATAGTATTGACCGCATTTTTTCCGAAATAAAAAACCCCGTCGAATATTATTTACCCGCTGAACTCTGAAATTTTATATTGAATCGGCTACATTGTTTATGGGGGGTGACAAAGTATCGCGGTTCACTGCCACGTAACGCACTAACGATAGAGCCAAGTGTTTTCTAAACTGTTTCCCCGCCGCGGTGGGTTTCTCGCGGTGCGAGCCAGCGCGGATAAGCGCGTGGCAAGAGAGGTTTACGATTTTACTTTATTGCCTCGGCGATGCATTGTCAAAATGTATTACAGTCGCGCCTGTATGGAGCGCGCGGTTTAATATCCTGTCTGCATTTAATCGCACCGGTATTAGAGTAGCGACTACGGGTGGTCCTATTAACCGCCGCGCCGCTACCGCGCCGGTGCGGCGGGTTTACTTCACCTTTCGCGGATATATCCGGCCCGTATTTGTGCGTTATTAGTTCGCCGTTACGTCACTCACGCTTTTTCCACCCTCCCCCTCCGAAAACGTTGATTAACGCGCACAATACCCGGGCCGGTAATTAGATGTCGATGCGAACGCGCCGAGCCGAGCCGGGCCGAGCCGGGCCTGGGCTAATTGGACCCTTGGGTCCGCGGATCCCGGGATCTTCCTGCCTCCGCAAATTTCGGGGAACGATTATATTAATACCGATTAATGCCGCTGGCTGGTGACTGCTTTCGGCCAGGGTGAAACCTTGGCGAGATTAAAATTGAGGGTTCTTATCTAGAATTCATGAATGAACTTCCTGAAGTAAAGATTTATTTCAAAAGTATTATATGACTCATTAGCAATTTTTTGTAGCTATGTTGAATTCCTTACTCGATATCCTCTCGTTCGAACTTGAAGAGAAGACTGTTGCCGGCTTCGGATATATTTCTGAGCGAATTTTGCACACTCTGGCCCGTCTCTCTTGACTTAACTATAATTTGCACGCCGTAAATGCGTACATACATTGCGCTCCGGTGGCACCGCATAGGACACGCGAACGATGAGAACTTAAACGTCGCAGATGTGCAACTATGTCTTGGTCATAAAACGCCGCCGGCAGTTAAATCTGTATTTCTAGAACGGGCAAACTTATCTTTGTAACGTCTGCATCTGCTTATTCCTCCGTCGATGCACACATTGCATTCCTAATCGTCCAAAAGTTTTGTACCAAGAGTCTTTAATAGAGAAATTTCTCTATCAAATCATGTTATACTTCATGTTATACTTCAATAACTGACGAAAAATTTACTATTTAACATTTTGTTCTTATTATCTAATTATCGCTTTATAATAAAAATCATGCCTGCATTTTATGGTTTTAATTTTATGTCTCCAATAAAAACAACGTTAATAAGTATACATAATAAAATATATAGGGTGTTTCTTAATAAGTGCGAAAAATTTTAGGAGACGATTCTTTGTCGAAAATTAAGGGAGGTTTTCATATAAACATTAAAAAGTTCTAACAAAAAATTGAATAGGGATTGCTAGTTTCATCCCGTTATAACAATATAAGAGGCTGAAAAAAATATTAATAAATAACCTTTTTAATAGTAGAAAATATCCACTTCCTAATTTCATTTCTTTAACTTGTTCCAAATTTGAGAAAAAAATAAAAACCTAATTTTTGGAGGAGTGTAACTCCACAGGAAGGAATGTAGGAGTATATGTTTAACAATCCTTCTTAATTTTCAACAAAAAATCATCTTCTAAAATTTTTCACACTTATTAAGAAACATCCATATATACCTTAATAAATTTTCACCTAGAGATGAAATATTTTTAAATCTGGCGTCGCGCATTCGTCATAGGAAGAGATTCGACGAGGGAGTATCGTTTGCACTCTGATTCGTTGCATCGTTTAATTTAATTTGGTGTTATCTTGCAAAATGTAGATAGGGTGCCATAGAGAGGGTGCGGGTGCAGAAAGCTCCTTTAACAGGCCATGATCGTATGCCGGGGACATTTTCCCGCGCCGTTATTGTATCCGATAAGTCGGGAGATAATCGCGCAGGCTGTGAGCGTCGTGATGTCCCTCGACGCGAGCTCGACGTTCGATTCTTCTCCGGCCGTGTGCGCGACAAGATCGGCATTATTATCGCGATTTGATCGATGAGCGAGGGGTGTTCGTTAAAATGTCCCCTCGCTTTCCGGTGCTATTTCGCGCGTGGGCGTTATCCTTGTACTTGCAGTTTGCGCCGAGTAAATCGAGAGAATAAACACTGATTTATGCGCGTTCGTAAATTTCAAGTTAAAAATTGATAATAGATAATAGATAAAAATGAATAATAAAGAGAGAGAGATAATATAATAATAGAAAGAGAGTATGTTGTCGTCTTTTCGATCCACATTTAAGCTACAAAATCATATCATAATCAGATAAATATTTTTAAATATCGATCTAAGCTATCTCTGTGCACTATCAATTCGCGAATCGTAAGTTTTCGGTAAAGTGGAGAAAAAAAGAGATGCCGAACAGGCTTTGTTGGTATCGGCCATGTTGCACAATCCCCGACGTCCACCTTCGCTGTCTGTTCTCGGCCGAGGACACTCATTCGCCAGGACTAAACCTGGTACCGGACTTCACCAAGACTGCTGCATATGTATTATGTGCGATTGTGTTCCAAGAAACTTCTGTCCGACATAGCGAGAGCGAGAACTCTGTTTGCCCTCCTTCCCCGATCTTGCTGTCTTTCTTTCGCCGTCTTACTACTCCGGTCGCATCCTCCCTCTTCCTCTTCAAGGAACTCTACCAGAGTCACTTTGCACCTGGCCTCTGTTTCTCGAGTCGTTGGCAGCTACTCGCGACGCTTCGAGCGAACTCGAAACGATACCGTCTCCCCCTCTTTCTCTCCCCTTCTTCAGCTCTATCTTGTCCAGACCTCCCTCTTTCTATTCGATACCCCTTCAAGAGAGGAAAAGAATGATCGAGATGCCGCGTGTCGATCGTCCATCTAGTTTAATGGCATTGCTGTTCTTCGATCTGCGAGTGAAAAAAATTTGCATGAGAATTCTTATAGAATGAATTACTTCTGATTCCTTTTTCGGATATTTGCCCCTTTAAATAATAGATTGCAAATGAAGGATAAACGAGATATTCTTTCATAGAATGAATAGAAAAAAATAATGTTTATAAAAAAATCATACACGCAAAATTAGCGTGATTATTTACACAATACCATAGATTTTAATAATTTCTACGATTTCTTTCAAACAAATATATAATAAGTAAATTCGAATATGCATTATTATATAAACAAATTTCCTCAACATAATAAATATTTAATTTATTTCACGAGAATATGTCGTTTGGCGTGCAAACAATATCGATTATTTTAATTGCTAATCGAAACCAATCGTATTTTTTCGATTCGAATGACCACATGAAATTCCAAGTGATTAAATAAGTCGACTCCATTCCGAATTGCATATAAATTGTTATAATATTTCTAACGTCAGTAAATGCGGCGCGTCCTTCTCACGATTAGCGTGCATAAATGTCAATGTCTGCCCCGAAGTCCCAGCATTGACCTTCAGCCCACGGTTAAGTATTCCAATTATTTTCATTATGTCCGGATTCTAATTGATTCAGTAATCGCGTGACAATCGCCGGAAATACATTCAATTGTTCGCATCGCACGTATCACGATTGACGTAAAAGAGACCGTCACGTATCGAATCGGTAACTAACTAGCTAATCTTAAAATCGCTGATCATTCATAGTCGTCATCAAAGTTCCACGTACTTGAACTCGATATAAAAAATGATTTGCACAATGTGATTGTGCTAGAAGTAATGCAAATTGCAATCGAGAAATCATGCACTATATTAGAAATTAAATATTTTAGCGACATTAAATCTTAATTGTGAAAATGATTCACAAGCAAATTTCTTGAATTTTGATATATCCATTATATCATAGCATTTTTTAAAGCCTCTAAACTTTCATAATTAATTCATATATTTGTAAACAAATTATACTTGAGAAAGAATATGCATATAACATATATAAAAAAATCTCAATCATGCTTTGAGAGAATACTTTTTAAAATAATTTTTTATTTACGTCTCTTTTTCAAGTGCTCTTTAAAAAGAATTTGGCTGAAATCGGTGACAGAGTTTCACCCGTGAAAGACTCGACATAAATTTTCTGCGCCGTATCCTCCATGAAAAGTAAAATCGATCCTCTTCAAATCGAGGGCAAAACGATGGCAAAATACTGAATGAACTATCCCGGAGTCCCATGAAATTCTGGACAAAGCGATACCGACATCTTCATCCCGGAATGATTTTCCAGAACCTTTCACGCGCGCGCGTTGCACTCGTCTCCCACTCACAATGGCGGTCCTCGAGCTACTTCATTGTCGCGGCTTACATTAATGAACTCTTTATCGAAAGTGACTCCGATGAAATTCATTCAATCCTTGAAACCGACAGTATGATTATACGTATTTTCGCATGACGCAGCGGATATAGACTTTTCACGAAAGAGTACTTCGCCATTTCGAAGATCAAATGAAATTCTTTGAGGTTGCGAATCGGGTAATGGTCGGCAAATGGATTTTTGCATCAATGATTTCATAAAGAATAATATTATTTGGCAATAATCGCATTTATGATATAATTTATCAGGATTTTCCGGAGATTTTGGATTTGTGTTCAAAGAATCACAAATTACTTAAGCGTTTGATTTAAGAAATGATATTAATGGTAAGTAAGTCTGTAAAAAGTGTGTGAATCAACTTCGGCTTTTCTTTGAGAAGTTTTAGGGATAGAGACACGTCGGCAGAGTGCGGGTGTAAGACGTTTCGAATTCTCGACAAAACTCGAATAAGTTACAGCTGAGCGAGCAGGACGTGGTGGCCGCGCGCGCGCGCACTCGGCCGTCTATAAACCTCCGACATAATGCGCCCCGAACGAGATTATTTCGCAATTTATCACCGAGGTCGCTGAATGCGCGGGGTGGTCTATTAGGTATCGGCGGGGGTGGCTGGCAAGATGGCGGCCAGTGCCGGCGAACAATTGTATCCCGGGCCCGATGACAAATGAAGCGGCAGCCGTCTGCGCCTATGACTTACGGCGCGGTTTCTTTGTCGAGGCTTCAGCAATATCACGAATCCTCCTCCTCAGGTGTTTTACTCGCTAGGAAAGTCTGCGTGAGCAACCCCCTCTACGTCTTCTTCGTCTGATGTCGTTGCTCGCTGGACCGAATTTGCGATTGCGATCGTGATATCGCGGCTATAAAAAGTGGAGGATTTATAGAGGTTTCGCTCCGAGTTTATCAAATTATCCTCCAGTTATCATTTCTATGGTGAATTTAGGACCAATTTCCTTCCAATGGCAATGTGATTTGTTATGATAACAGAAAGAATCGGGATAAATGAAGCAAAAAATATTTCTTCTAAATTTCATATAATAAGTTGTATTATTAACAAGATATATATCTTCTATTCTATTATTTTATTTTTTTCTATGACTTTTCATTAACTTCACTGATTCACTGATTACATTCATCACTGATCACACTAATTTTACTATTTATTCCTCTTTCTCTTTTATCTGTTAAATATTATTATTGTGTGGCATCACATTTTCATTGCGATTCTTTTTATTTGTCTAAATAATTATATTAAATAACTACACATTATATATGTATATGTAATATATATGAGATAATGATCTCATTTGCACACATATCATACGTAATGAATACGAATGCCATTAATCGTTAAATAGTCATTAATTTTATGAATCAAGCGCGACTTGGGTCACAAATACACACATATATATTAAATCATTTTAATTTTAATATCAGTTATAATGAATTGACATCATTGCATGACATTTAGAATCATTTGACGCACGTGTTGTGTCGAGTGATAAGCGTATTGATTTGCAGAAAATGCAGAAATTGTCTAACGAAGCTATCGCGCTCGTCTATCTATTGTGCTGTTGTCAAAGTGTCTCTCGAATAATTTGGGGTAAAAATATGAGTAACAGTCTTGGTAATGGTCTCGTATAAAGGTCTTTACAGTTATAGGATCGTAAATTTCAAGCGGCGGTTCGTGCAACGGAGTCGTAAAAAGCCTATTATCTAAGGAGCTCGCTTGGCGTCCGGTTCGATAAATCTAATATAATTATTTCGCTCGCGTCGCGCTCCTTTTATTATCAGATCAGACTAATTCTTTCTCTGATACACATGTATAATTTTAAAACTTTTTAAATGCTCCCTCTCTCTTTCTCTCTGCTAGGATAACGGAAAAATTGATTATATTAACTATGCTGACATTGTCAATCTGATATAGTTATTGGTTTACATATATAGACAAAAATTTACCATTTTATTATTAAAATTAATAACTTATATTACTGAAAGGAATAATAATATTATTGTAGAATAAATTTGTATTGTTCTTAAATATAAATAATTTTTATCATTCGCATCATTGAAACATATATAAAAATAATGTATAAGACATTAAGAATTATTTTCTTGAAGTAAAATGACATAAAAAAACTCCTTTTCCTTTTTATTATTTAAGAATAGAATAAAGAGAAGAAGAAATTTTCTCATGTCCTTTTAATGTTTAATTTTTAATATTAAATTAATGTTTAATTCTTCTTGATTAAACCAAATAAATATTAAATCTCAATTCGAGAATTTCTATTTCTCTTGTCCTGAGAAGATGTAGGCGAGAAAAATATCGGGTCAAAGTCGCTGAATCGGAAATCGGAGTCTTTCGCTTGCTGAACGATTATCTTACCATTGAGCTATTCAGATCCTATATCCCGATACTTCTCATTTTCCCTTCGTATATAAATTTATTGTAAATAATAATAAAGCCTTTTATGTCGACGTGACAACAAGTTAAAAAAATTATAAGTAAGGCTCTCAATGTAGAATGCAAATTTTAAATATCACAGGCTATAGGAGCGGATGGTCATGTGTCAATTTTACACAAAATTATTCTATAATAATATATTATTTCTTTCGATAATATAAATTATTAATTTTAATAATAAAATGCTAAGTTTTCATAAAAGAAAATTACAGTTTCCTTACATTGTGGCAGATATTACATCCTGCAATTTATCTCCTGGAGAAATTCTGTAAGAATTAACGAGATCTCGTCGTAAAGTTTCGCGTGCGTTTATTAATTCCATCGGCGCGAAAAAATCTGTTAGCATTGGACGAAAAAATGCAATCCCGATTCAATCTCCGTTATGGGATGTAAAAAAGGGAGAGAGAAAAAAAACAAAATACCCGAGGACGAAGGGTAGGCAGGACATGCCCGCAGGAGCGTTCGCCGGACGCGTCACGGCGATATCCGCCTCCGCGAGCGAGGGAATAAACGAAACGCGTTTTGCGGAGGAGAGACGTAGAACACGGGGAACGGGGGATGGCCTCGCGCACAGATCCCGCACGAAAATAGCACAATAGCTCATCTCCCGCCCGTTGATACGGAGCACAGTCGCGGTGCTCTGACTTATCGAGTCAGGCATATTTAATTTCCGCTCTCACAGCGACGACGCCACACGTTCGCGCACGACGTATAACGCGAACACACTGATTCTCAGTTACGCGCGTCACCCTATATAGGCGCGCGCCCGCCCTTATCTACCCTTTTCCAATAAGACTTCCTACTGCGGAATTACCCCTTTGCCAACGCGACACAATATTCGGCTTTCTATGGCGCATTATGCGCCGTCTTTTCCATTCGGTCACTTTATCACCGACCGACGCTAGTTTTCTCTTTCTCTCTTTATGATGGCCGCGCCGCCGTCGCCAATAAAACCGTCGACGAAGTTGGCCGCCCGATTTCCGGTAAAGCCGTCAATGACGGGCTCTTTCTCGCTCGCGAATAAATTTTTTTTTCAATCGCTATTTATTTTCTTTTTCTTGTCCCTCATGTGTTTTACGGCGAAAAAGCTGTCTAGTTTTACCGAGTGCGCGATTGTTCTCGGCTGAATAAAACCGATCGA